TAAATTTAATTAAATATAAATAATTTTTAAGAGCTAAACTAATAAATATTAAAATACATAATATAAAATAAATTCACTAAAACATTATAATAAGAGAAAACTCAATTTTAAACTAAATTCATTACAAAATAAGACTTGAAGATTATAAACAGTCTCAAATCAAATCCATAACAAAGATGAATGTCAAATAAATAAAACAACATTACTAATTTATTTGTTTTGGCCTAAATGAGGAGCATCTTCATCAAAATAAGCATTTACACAAATATATAAAATTATTAAAAACACCTCTAAATCCAAGTATGATAAATAAAAATTTATTTAAATTAAATACGCTGCATTAAAATTTAAAATCATGGCATAACAAATTAAGGATAATAGATTAAAAAAAATAAAATCAAGCATCAAATATTGATATTCATAGTTTCATACATAATTTTTCTAAATCTTATGCCAATACTAATTAATAAAGAATTAATTTCTATTAACAATTAATAAACTTGTAAAACATGTGAATTTGAGAATGAATTTCAAGGTAAAAGCTAAAAATCTCACTTAAATCAAATGCCCAAGAGGAGAGAATGAGTCATGGAGTCACGGACTGCCTCTGTTGGGACGATCAGTTTCCTTTACTGCTTCTTTTTGGTTTGGTGAAGGAGAGGAAGATGAGTGGTGGCGGTGTGAGCAAAATCAGGTGGCGATGTGAGCAAAATCATGGACAATCTGTTATGCTTTGCTGCTTTTGTTTGGGCTGATAAAGGAGTGGAAGATGAGTGGTAGAGACGTGAGGTTGTGAGCTTTGTCAAGATGCTACCCATGGAGGAAAGGTGCTGAGTTGCCGGTGGAGATGCAGGGAGATTAGGATACTTTGTTGCTGATGTTCAGTTTGGCGAAGCAGATGAGGCCGACGGAGAACTGGTGAGTGAGATGCTAATGGAAGTGGAGCAGGGAGATTAAGTGCTTTGCTGCTTCTGTTCAGCGGTGGAGATGCCGACGGACTCACGGAGATGGAGCAGGGATGAGGGAGAGGGATGCCAATGGCTCGATTGCAGTTCCACACTTCTGCTTCTGTTCCTGCATTCTAATTTTGCTTTTCCCATGTTGTTTTTACATAATAGTCCTTGCTTATTAGGGTTTTTAATTTAATTTAAGTGTAAAGTTAAGGTTTTTTTTATGTAATATCATTAAAAAGATAGGATAAAATAGGTAAATCACATAAAAAAATTAAAGAAAAAGTTAAAAAAGGAGATGGTAGGTTCAACCGGCGAGTGGAACGGGTTCGGTATTTGGGCCGGGTTTAACGGGTTAACTGGGTTTGAACGGGTTAACCTTCAAAACGTGTCAATGTATGAAATCGGCCCGTTTTTATGCCCAAGTCCGGTTGAACCGATTCAACCGGACCAAGCTGGGCCGGGTTTTAAAACCATGCATTTAAGAGTATTTTTGTTTTTTCTAACACCAAATTGGGAAGTTTCTAAAATGCAAGAGCAACGGCTAAAAAAAATATATTTTTTTACGTGAAAAATTAATTTATGTAAAAATAATACATATTTGTTTAATTATTATAAAAAAATTAAAATTTTAATCTTAAAAATATTATAATT